CGGACAAGACTGAGCCTAAGAGAGGGAGAGGGGTGAAGGGCTGCCTGGCCAGGAATGTGCCAGGCACCCAGGGGTGCACGCGCGGGTGCAGGGACTGCGTGAATGCAGCGGGACGGGGAGGTGGCCGTGCATCACCCCGAGCCCATCCCCTACAGCTTGGGCTTGTTGCTGTGAAGTTTGGGTCCCGCTTATTTAATCCGGCAGAAAAATTTAATGCTGTCCTAAACACCGAATGCTGCTGCCTGGCTGTCCAGAGCCCGGGGGTCCCCCTTCCACGCTGGCACCGCGGAGGTGACAGTGGCACCACACTGCATCCGCCGGGCGCTTGGGCCAACGGCAAGGAGGAGTGACCCTTCCCATCCCAGAGCCACCGGCCAGGGAGGCCACTTATCGGTCAAACGGCTTTGGAAAGAAGCAGCAAAACCCCAAGGATTTTACCTCTAACTTTGTTTAACCAACTGTGCAGGAAGGCGGTTTGATGTGGGCCATTTCTGGGTACATGAAACAGAATTAATTTGTTCTCTCTGAAAGCCAGCAGACAGGAATATGAAATATTTAAGCAGCCTAAGCAGGTCTGTGATGTGCCGATCGGCGCGAGCACCCGGTGCGTGACGGCGCTTCCCGTGCTCGTGGGTTTGGGGCACTCAGGTTCCGAAGCCTGTTGCAGGTTTGGTGCCCGTGCCCCTTGCCGTGGGGGGTGTCTCACCGTGGGGCAGCGAAGGACACAGGCTCCTCACCTCCTTTATCCATCCGCAGCGCCCTTTGCCTCGAGGAGGGATGGAAGAAACGTTGGTGGGCCTGAAAAATAGCCACGAACACCAGCACTGCGAGTCTGCACGCTGAGCCAGGACCCGCCTTGCTCCTCTGGCTCGGCCCTGCTGCCCCCCAGGCCTGGCAGCTCCCCGCTGGGAACGGCACCCCCAGGCCGGCCTCGCACCCCGCTTGCTCTTGGGTGCCCGCGAGTCCCGGGCAAAGGAGCACGGAGCAGCTGGGAGCCTGGAAACACGGCACGAGCTCTGCTTCTGCGGGAATTTGTGGTCTCCGGTGTGACGCGGAGGTGCTGTCCTGCCCGCTCTGCCCTGGCCGGAGGGGCCGGGGGGGCTGGAGCCCGTTTAACGACTGGTTTTTGTGGCAGACCCTTCACTTGCTGGTGCCCTCCTGCCCCGGGCTGGCTAGGGGGAGGCTCGGCACGTGCCAGCTCTCTGCGGCGGAATAACCTGCGCTCCGGGGACCTTAGGGGTGACATCTCTTGGCTTTTTTCGCCCAGGTTTCCTCCTCTCTGCCCAACATCCCCGGGTGTCTCTGCTCCGTGTCTGAAACCAGAGGTGCTCTGGGGGGGCCGCGGCCGGGCAGAGCCCGCGGTGTCCCCCAGCATCCCCCCCGTGGTCCCGCTGCCCCCAGCGACAGCCCTGCCCGAGGCCCCTCCGGCGCATCCACGCCGAGCCCGAGCAGGCAACCGCTCGGCAGCTGCCAGATCAAAACTCGGCAGCTAAAAACGCCGGGTGGAGGCAAAGGGGAACGATTGCTTGGACTCGTCTGAGCTCGGTTCCAGCCGAGCGTCGCTGCCCAGCCGTGCCCCTGCGGCTCTCCCCATCGCTCTCCCCGCCGCCGGCCGCTCGTGCGGGTTTATGTAACGCTCCGGCACTAACGTTTGGGCTGATTTTTTTTCACACAGCGGCTGGCTGCGAAGGATGCTCTTGCCTCCGGTGGGTGGGTAACTAGGTCTCTCCTCACATGAACGCAGCTTCTCTCTTCCTCGCTCCATCCTCTCTGCACGGAGGACGTGAAACATGCAAAAACTGTGAAAGCAGAAAGGGAAAAACCAGCTCAGCTGACGTCGCCTTGCTGCGGGGGGGGGCCTGCCTGTCACCCCCCTGCTGTCCCCAGTGTCCCCGCTGGGCCGGGGGCAGAACCCCCCATCCCCTGGGGGTACGTGGATGCCCCAGCCTTGGCTCCAGCCTTGGCTCAGCCCCACGGGCCCTTTGCCCCGTGGTGTAACTGCGGGCACACAGCCCTCGGGGTACCCCCAGGCAGCCTCTGCGCGGGGCCTGGGGAATCAGTGTGAGGAGCAAGAAGCTTCTCCAAAGTTTAGTGGGACCGAAGAAAGAAGAAAACGGTGGGTTGTGGGGATCTGCTCTTTCTGGCAAGGACACATTTGGGGTGAAAGCTTTTAAATCTTGTATCTCCTGGACTCAGAGGAGCAGTGCTGCCTCCGCGTGCACCCCCAAACACTGGGACACCCCTCGCAGGGCCCCCGCAGCCTTCATCCAGCTCCTGGGAGCTTTAAGCACTCTCCCGTGTGTCCTCAGAAAGGGCTGCGAGGAGCCACGGGGAGATGCCCGGTGTCAGAGCCGGAGCTGGGGCTTGCTGCTCGCAGAGCGGCTGCTGCTCGGCTGCACCCGCAGGGAGGGGACAGCAGGTCCCTGCTCCGGGGTCCCCTGTCCCCACCTTGGCCCTCCCGGTGTCCTGGGGGGGCAAAATGTCATCTGCAAACAGAGGCCGCCGAGCGCTGCTGAGACACCTTTATATTTAATTAGAGTTTGACTCTTCCTCCACCTGTTTCCTGTGGCGGATTTAGGTCCCTAAGAAACAAATGCTGGGGAAAAAAAAAAAAAAAAAAAAAAAAAAAAAAAAAAAAAAAAAAAAAAAAGAAAAAAAAAATATCTGTTCTCCAGCTTCTTTGAATTCTGTAGAGAAAGCCAATGTGGGCACCAAGGGAGCAGCATCCTTACATCAATGCAGGGCTGGAGGCTGCAGCGCGCTTGCCAGGAGCTCACCCACGCTCCCAGGCCAGGCGCTGCTCCGGGACGGCAGCTCCTGCACGCCTGGAGCCAGAGCTTGCTGAGGGAACGGGAGAATTCACCTTGTCTTCGGGGACGTTGCCTCTCTGCTGGGCTTTGGGGGCAGCTCGCCCTTCCCCGGTGCAGAGCGAGGCCGCAGGGCTGGAGCCGGCGCGTGCCGCGGTGCAACACCCCGGGTTGAGCGATCGCCACGGGCTTCTGCCCCGAACCCCTGCGGTTTGTTAGTTGTGATTTGGGTTTTTTTTGCTGGAAAGGGTTTGTGTTACCTGTCTCCTGCGACCCCGAGCCCGCGGCCTCACGCCAGGCTCTGCTCACACGTGTCCCTGCGGCGCGCCCGGCGCTTGCCCTTCCGTGGAGCAGCTCCTGGGGTGCCCAGTGGGAGGATGAGGGCCCTTCCTCAGGATGTGAATCATGTTCTACGGGCGCCTGCTCCCCACCCGTTGTCTCCGTGCTGCTCTCCCACCCCCTGACCACCGAGCCCGCGGGGAAGGCGAGCCTGGGTTTTACAGCTCCGCGGGGTGAGGCCCCATTTGCCCACATCACCAGTTGGGTCTCAGTGCACTCCTCTATCCGGCAGCAGGAGCTGATGGAGGGGAAGACGTGGTACAGAAGCGGCACTTTGGTGGCAACAGGAACAAACTGGGCTGATTTCCCCTCCGCTCCGCACACTGCGCTCCCCTGAGAGGGCCGGTTCGGCGTTGTTTGTGTGTCAGTCCTCTCGTCGCACCTGTGGGGACTTTACTCCCGTTAAAAAAATAGAACAATTTCCTCAGAGGAAAGAGCTGCTGGGATGTTCAGCCCGACGTTTCAAAGCGCTGAGGGGATCTGGATACCCAGCTCCCATGAAAATTAGCGTGGCCTTGAGAATCCTCCTTTAATACGATACGGCTCTGAGCGCGCAAAAAAAAAAAAAAAAAAAAGAAACCAGCCTCCCTCGAGTGGGAGCTGTACCTGGCTTTTGTGCTTCTGGGCCCAGCAGAGGGAAAAAAGCTTGAGGAAGAATGCTAACGTGATTATCAATACTTATAGGGGGAAATTAAAGGCCTGTTCTCAGCGGTTTCTGCTGCCGCTGGGTTTCACAGGCAGCAGCTGTGCGGGCTGCGTTTGGCAAATGGGTACATACAGCAAAAGCACAACAAAGAGGAAACAGGCAAAGCTCGGAGTTTACAATTAGAAGGAGAAGAATTCAGCCTAGCATGGCTACGTGCGAGCTGCAGCCTGCACTTAGCGTAATGTGCCGCTTTCCTCCGCGAAAGTACGCAGGAATCAAAATGACCCGCTATTATTTTCATTATTACTCCCATTCCTCCGCAGGCAGAAGGAGTTATTTCTGTTGCGAAGATTTCTATGCGCAGACCAGCGGTGAATAGGGCCTCACGCCCGAGGCAGAAGACACCCCGCGGCACGGGCTGGCACGACCACGGGGAGGAAAAGCACCCGAGAAAAAAGCACGACGGCGGGGAGGCGCGGGGAAGGTTCCCCCTTCATTTCCTCACAAGCGCAGCACGAGGAGGGATGCCTGCAATTTATTTCTCCCTCTCAGCATTAAAATCACACGGCGCTGGGTGTTCGTAACACTCCCGTCTGCTTATGGAAAGACGACATCAGCGGGACGGGTCAGTTACGTTTTATTACTGTAATGAACTTTTTAAAGCAGGCGCATAATCGCAGCTCCGGGCCTATTTCTGGAAAACCTCCCGGGGGTTTAATTCCAGAGCGCCTGAGGGATGTTCCTCAGAGAAAGCGCCTGGAGGGCGGAGGGATGGACCCCGCGGAGCAGCGACCACCGAGGAAAACCGGTCACGTGGCTGCGGAACCAGAATCCGATCCCACAAACGAGGGTTTGCGAAGACGCGCCGCGGCGGAAACGTTCTGATGGTTCTGCTTCGGTTTTGCTTTGGGTTGCCGTCGCCTCGGCGGGCCGGCGCGGGGAGAGCCGGGTGGTGGGGAGCGGGTGACGGAGCCGATGTTCAGCGTCTGGGGACGCCGGCGGGTAGCGAGGGCGAGGAGCGGCAAAGGGCGTTTGGAAACTCCTCCGCGCCGGGAGCTGGGGCCTTCCCGGTCCGTTGGGTAAAAGGGAGGCCGTTAGTTCCAAAGTAATTTAAATCAACCCCGGCCTGAGAGGCCCCGGTCGGCTCGGCAT